TCCATACCTTTCCCATCACCATTTTCTTTCCACCATCATCTCCTGGTCCCCATATACATGTCTCTGATGATCCACTGCTGATATTCAACCTCACACTAAAACCTGAGGTGCACAACATTGTCCTCTATCTGCATACCTTTCTGGGTTCTCGACTGTGTCTCCTGGTTGTCTGTCTCTTCTGGTTGCCGGGTATTCACCAACAGTCTGGGTAGTCAGAGGTCAAGCCGCGATTAGGGGATGGAGGATCGAGCCTCTAAACTCCTTCAGAGACATGATGTACATGGGTTTAGCGCTTCATGGCATACTACTGCAACAATCACTTTCTGGTAGCCATTGTGTGAGTGAGTATACGAGTGTGTGTGTGTGTACTCGCCTAATTATGGTTGCAGGGGTCGATTCATAGCTCCTGGTCCCGTGTGTGTGTGTGTGTGTTCTTTGTACTCACCTAGTTGTGGTTGCAGGGGTCGATTCACAGCTCTTGGCCCCGCCTCTTCATTGGTCGCTACTAGGTCACTCTTCCTGCTCCATAAGCTTTATCATACCTCTTCTTAAAAATGTTTGGATCCTGCCTCCACTACATCACTTCCCACACTATTCCACTTCCTGACAACTCTGTGACTGAAGAAATATTCCCTAACATCCCTGTGATTTATCTGAGTCTTCAACTTTCAATTGTGACTCCTTGTTGCTGTGTCTCATCTCTGGAACATCCTGTCTCTGTCCACCTTGTCAATTCCTCTGATTATTTTATATGTTGTTATCATATCCTCCCTATCTCTCCTGTCCCCCAGTGTCGTCAGGTCGATTCCCCTAAACCTCCCCTCGTAGGACATTTCCCTTAGCTCCGGGACTAGTCTTGTTGCAAACCTTTGCACTTTCTCTAATTTCCTTACATGCTTTGCTAGGTGTGGGTTCCAAACTGGTGCTGCATACTCCAATATAGGCCTGATATACACGGTGTACAGACTCCTGAACGATTCCTTGTTGAGATGTCAGTATGTTAGTCTTAGGTTTGCTAGGCGCCCATATGATGCAGCAGTTATTCAGTTGATGTGCACCTCAGGAGATGTGCCCGGTGATATACTCAACCCAAGATCCTTTTCCTTGAGTGAGGTTTTTAGTCTCTGGCCCCCTAGATTGTACTCCGTCTGTGGTCTTCTTTGCCCTTCCCCAATCTTCATGACTATGCACTTGGTGGGGTTGAACTCCAGGAGCCAGTTTCCGGACTAGGCCTGCGGCCTGTTCACATCCCTGTGTAGTTCCGCCTGGTCCTCGGCCGATTGAATTCTTCTCATCAACTTCACATCATTTGCAAACTGGGACACTTCTGAGTCTATTCTTTCCATCATGTCGCTCACATACACTAAAAACGGTACTGGTCCTATGACTAACCCCTGTGGAACCCCGCTAGTCACAGGCGCCCACTGTGTGTGTGTATGTGTGTATGTGTGTATGTGTGTGTGTGTGTGTGTGTGTGTGTGTGTGTGTGTGTGTGTGTGTGTGTGTGTGTGTGTGTGTGTGTGTGTGTGTGTGTGTGTTTGTTTGTTTGAGTGAGTACGTGTGTCTTCCAGTCTTAAGTGTAAGAAATAATTCTTAATTCCGTCACACACACAAGTAGTGGTTGCAGCACTTACCACTATCTCTTAATAGTGGTAGTTACATATCACCTGCTGGTGATTGTAAAATATATATAACGTGCTACTGCTGGTTATTGTACCACATATGGCGTCTATACTGCTGGTGATTGTAACACATGTAACGTTTTACTGCTGGTGATTGTAGCACATAGAACGCCCTACTGCTGGTAGTTATAGCACATACCACCACACGCTAGTGGAGGGACTGTGGTACCTACCACCACAAGCTAGTGTGGGCTGTGGTACCTACCACCACACGCTAATGGGGAACTGTGGTATCTACCACCACATGCTAGTGTGGGCTGTGGTACCCACCACCACACGCTAGTGTGGGCTGTGGTACCTACCACCACACGCTAGTAGGGGCTGTGGTACCTACCACCGAACGCTAGTGTGGGCTGTCGTACCCACCATCACACGCTAGTGGGGAACTGTGGTACCTACTACCACACGCTAGTGAGGGCTGTGGTAGCTACAACCACACGCTAGTGGGGACTGTGGTACCTACCACCACACGCTAGTGGGGACTGTGGTACCTACCACCACACGCTAGTGGGGACTGTGGTACCTACCACCACACGCTAGTGTGGGCTGTGGTACCTACCACCACACGCTAGTGTGGGCTGTGGTACCTACCACCACACGCTAGTGTGGGCTGTGGTACCTACCACCACACGCTAGTGTGGGCTGTCGTACCCACCATCACACGCTAGTGGGGAACTGTGGTACCCACCATCACACGCTAGTGGGGAACTGTGGTACCCACCACCACACACTAGTGGTTGTTGTTGCAATACGTACCACCCCCTCCAGGATACCATTACCGTATTCTGTCTCTCTGTAAATACACATTGTTCAAAATCTCTTCGGCTGCCTTCTTCTCATTCACATCATCTTTCTCTTAGTGTTGTTGGTGTTAAGAAATCTCTCTTATTTATTCACACTTATTCTTTTCTTTATATAAGACATTTTTATCATGTATCTTATAATCCTATCAGCTAAAAAAGGCATCTTGGTTAATATCAGTTTTTCGTAACTATTAACTCAAGGCGATATTTTGTATAAATAATAATATTTAATTGATTTTATCTACATGTTGTTTAGGCGCTGTCAGACAATTTTGGTTTAATATATGTTATAAATAGCTTTATTTTTATTTTAGCTTTTCCCATTCCATGTATCCAGAGACTGTCTTGCAGTTTGGCTATGTAGCATAATTTGTCTATATTTTTATTTTCAAATATGTTTTCTATGCGAGGCTTTCAGTATGTCATCACGCGATCTGTATTCTCCACGTGGATTATTATCTAAGTTTTTCACTTCCACGTGGCACATATCTACGTAAATGGTCATCATCCATCGTGTTTTGTACACGATCTCTTCGTTATCTTGGCATTGGTGTAGTTGTTTCATGTTTGAAGCTCTGGCAGGTCATATGATGACCTGCAGCTGAAGCTGCAGGTCATCATATGACTAAAATCAGCGTCAGGAAACACTTGCCGTATTTCCTGACAAACCTTACACAATCTAATCAGGCCGGTCACTAGGACGACACTCTCTTCCCAAATTAACTCAAAAAAATTGTTCTTCGTGGTCTTCCAGTGTGATCTTCCTGCTTGGTCTTTCCTTTACTGGCTTTTTTAGTGGCCTTTCACAACCTTCATTCATGGTCTTCCTTCATAGTCTTCCCTTATAGCCTTCCTTCATAGTTTTCTTGCTTAGTGTTTTTTCATTGTCTTCCTCTATGGTCTTCCACCGTTGTGTTGCTTCACAGTCTTCCTTCATGGTCTGGATATAGCCACAGTGTGAGCGAAACATTGTGAATTAAGGATCGTATTATACTGCATTTCCCTCTTTTGTTCCATCTTCAGTCATAATCTTCCTTCGTGATCTTCCTTCATAATCTTCCTTCTTGGTTTTCCTTCATCTTTTTTCATGGAACTGTTTTATTCCAGTTCCACATTTTTTTTTTTTACAAAAAATAGTTTTTGTATAATTCGTTATTAATAATTCGTTTGTACTAATATATTACATTTTCCTTAAAATTCTCTCTTCGCTCGTCACATCTCGTTGCAGTCATCACATTACTCAGGAAAATTAAATCATCATGTTTTTTCCTCACAATCCAGTTATTGTAACCTAATTTCCAAAGGGAGCCGAATGATATTACCAAACACCTAAACATAACTTACTGAAAGAATTTTGTGTTTTGTGGCAATAAATATTTGGAGATCACTAGGCGATTTATGTGCCGACGGGTGTGGTGGATGAGCTGCCATTTCCTGGTGGGTGAGCGTTGCGTGTGGATGAATGCTGGGGAAATACCAGCGAAAGAAGCTCAGTGGGGGATTACCTACTAGTCTACATTAATCATTCAGCATTGTCAATAGAAATATGATTCATATTTTTAAATCAAAGGATTAAAATGCTAAATTTAGGTCTTGCAGGAAGAATTTTCCGACCAGAGAAATTACGATTACATAAATGTTAAATTGTTCATATAGCATTTTATATATACATGCATTGTATATGTATATATATATATATATATATATATATATATATATATATATATATATATATATATATATATATATATATATATATATATATATATATATATATATATATATATATATATATATATATATATATGCCAAACAACCACTGAGAAAGAGTAATGAAATTCCAAGCGCTTTTGTGACTACTCACATTGTCAAGGAACTATGAAAGTAATACATCAAAGGAAGGCAATTAAAGGGCTAAAACCACACCTCACAGTCAACTCCCACAACAAAGAAACACCTGACGCGCGACAATACCGGACTCATAAGAAAAGAGGAACACTGCAGTAGGTCCGCTGGTCCAACTAGACAGGTCCTCACGACATCCCACTAACAAAATATTCTATCCAAGAAATAAGGTTTATTATTTGTCCAATGTATTAAACTCAAACCAAATTTTGTTCCTTGACAATGTGAGTAGTCACGAAAGCGCTTGGAATTTCATTACTCTTTCACAGTGGTTGTTTTGCATATTTTAAAATCACCTATTTACTTTGATCTTATTGCATATATATATATATATATATATATATATATATATATATATATATATATATATATATATATATATATATATATATATATATATATATATATATATATATAATATATATATATATATATATATATAAATATATATATATATATATATATATATATATATATATATTATATATATATTATATATATATATATATATATATATATATATATATATATATATATATATATATATATATATATATATATATATATGTATGTATTTAACTGTTGAATTGTTGTTGTGTGTCTCTGACAG